ACAAAGCACAAATTCAAATAAAATTTTTACTACGTAAAAATTTTCAAATCTCATGGCAAAAAAAAATAAGCCACAGACTAGGAAAAGGTATTTGCAACATATATTAGACATAAGGTTGTATCCTGAACATATAAAAAATCCTGGCCAATTAATAAGAAAAAGAAAAACAATAGAAAATGAATAAAGATCGTTAAACATTTAAAAAGGGATATTGAAATGACAAATAGATGAAAATATGTTTATCTTGGAAATCAGATAAATATTACCAATAGTACTACAACCAAAAATATTTCATGTTTTACTAAGTTGGAATTGTTGAACTTTTCAAAATTTTCTAAGTATTTGGTGAGATTGAGGAGGACATCAGTTGTTTTTCTATATGGCAAGTTGTGGATTGAATTGATATGGTCATGATGCAAAATAATTTAGCTTTAAAATAACTCACTATGATCAAGCAGTTTTAACTTCTAGCTATTTACTCTTGAACAGTGTTTTTCAACAGTTCAGTTTTCAACTAAACATCATTTAGTTTACTGTTAAAAGCAGGAACTCCGAGGTTTCAGCCCAGCCATTCCTGTCTCAGAATCTCCAATGGATGTCTCTTAGTAGACCTTCTGATCATTCCTCCAAACTTACTCTCCACCTTGCCCTCTCCTCTGCGTGACAGAAGGCTGCACTATATTGCAACAGCAGGGCTCCATTTCTTCTAGCTTCAGAGTTGGTTTAGCCAATGAAGAGCCATGGTAGGAATGCAGACAGTGGCGTTTAACTCCTCCCTCGAAGCTCTCCACAGAAGGGCTCTTTCATGGTTCCCTCAAGGCATGAAACTCTACAGGACATCCTTTTTCCTTTCTGGTTCCAGTAACCTATGTCTTTCTTTCAGGTCTGGGTAATAAAACCTTAGTTGCTACTAGCTCCAGATGACTGTACTATTCCTTGTCTCATCAAAGCCAGGGGTCAGCAAACCACTAGCCTGTTTTTGTAGTTCTTTAGCTCAGAACAGCTCTCACTTTTTTAAAGAGCTGTGATGAAGAATATGCAACAAACTGTTATGTGGCCCACAAATCCTGAAATGTTTATGATCTGGTCCTTTACAGCAAAAGTTTTCTCATCCTGGGATCTATACTGATGTTTTTGTCAATAGTCCCTTTGTAATTAAACCTGCTTCAGTTTTTTTTTGAGTGTTCCAAGTTTTCTGTTTGGCCCTTGAGTGGTATGAGGAAACCTAGGAAATTGCATCTGTATTATAAGAGCCTCCAGGTGATTCAGAGAATTTGGGGAAACTCTGGCCTAGAGTAATTTACATAAATAGTCCCAAGGAAATAAGCATAGTAATATTAATTTTATCAGACTTTATAACATTAAAAAATAAAGACAAACTGAATGTCCATCAAAAGTGAATAAAAATCAAATAAAAATACATTTTTAAAAGTAAAATGGCCTATATTCAGATGGAGGGTACCAGTTAGCAATATGTGAGGAGAACAGATCTTAAATACATGAAAAAGAAAAATATGTCGAACCATGTAAGGAAAATATAATGTAGATAAATTTATAATTTTTTTTTAAATGTTTGCCTCTCTACCCCCAGAAGTAAGTAATGCAAAGGGTTACGGAAGAAAGTGTTTGGGAGTGGTGGTCAAAGGGACCAGAGAAGACATTGTTGATTGCTTCATGCTCTATCATCCCTTTCTAGCTTGTCAAGGAATGAAAATGAAGGAATCACATTTCTTGCAGCTGGAGTTCCTCCTATGGCTTAGGTTCTGCCAAGCAGAGACTCTTGTGTACAATTGCAGTAGAAAGTAAGCATCGTAAGATGGTGGTCTGCCTGTGGAAACTCCTGATAAGCTTGATGGTGAAAGCATCTGATTTTTGAGACATTGTAGCAGAGTTTCAGCTTCCAACCCCTAGCAATATAGATCCTGGGTGATGTGTGGCAACAATGGTGGTGCTTTTGTTACAACAGCTCCATGGTGAGGTTGGTAATGCCATCTAGCTCCACTGGTCCTGGCTACATGCAACCAAGCCTGGTTCTCTGCCCTCCCTGAGATTCTATGTGCTGCTCTATTACCCTTTGAAAAATTCCTTTCTGCTGAAACTCAGAGTGGATTTTATGGTCTGCAATTAATAAAATATTTTTAATTATGTGGGATAAAATAGTTTTACTTTTTGTAGTAATTTTTAAATTTCCTTTAATCTTTAAAAAAAAAAATCTAGGCTGGACACAGTGACTCACACTGTAATCCTAGCAGTTTGGGAGGCCAAGGCAGGTGGACTGCTTGAGCCTAGGAGTTCAAGACCAGCCTGAGCAAAATAGTGAGACTCTTGTCTCTACAAAATTAAAAATACTTGAATTTTTATCCAGATGCGGTGATACAAGGCAGTAATCCCAGCTACTTGGGAAGCTGAGGTGGGAAGATTGCTTGAGCCTCGGATTTCAAGGCTACAGTGAGCTATGATCATGCCACTGCATTCCAGCCTGAGTGAGAGGGACATCTTGTCTCTATGGGAAAATGTGTGTATATACATAAAATCTCTGTATAGAACATGTTAATTCTCTACTGACCAAATTAAACAAAGATCCCTGACAGGACACTATTTGTCCATTCAACACAGGAAAAAAACTGTTACACTTCCATATTTCAGAAGTAACCAAAAAATTACCTATTCATTACCCAGTTTCTCATATTTTTGTATACTATTTGTTTATTACAATTTCTCTAAATCCATCCTCAGGACGTTTTGTTAAAGGTACATGTGTGTATGCCTATTAATTGCCTTCATCACTTAAATATTTCCATCAGATTACTCACGGAAGTCAGTTTCAGCAACTTTTCTCATCGTCCCACCAACAATTATATATGTGACCATTTTGAACAAGCTTGTAATATATATTCATTGTGTATGTGTGTGTGTGTGTATATATAAATAAGTGCCAAGCTTTACTTTTACTGAGAGGAGACAGTTGTATACATGTCTCAGGAGCTCAATATTTTGTGTGTGAGATGTTTCATTAATGTTCACTACTGTATTTTGTAACACTCACTGTATGCTTATCAAAAACTTCTCTTGATATGGGCAGTGGGTGTTTTTACAGTTTTTTCTATTAAAAATGCTGCGATATGACTTCTACTTTAAGATAGAGTGCTGAGTTCACTTTCCCTCTATAACAACTAAAACACTGGACCAAATATATGAAACCACAATTTTCAAGACCTTGGACATCAACCAATAAAAACAATGATCCCAGAGCAACAGGAAAAAGACAAATCCTGTGAAGCCCTAGTTTGCTGCCTTCTGAGAGAATCCTCGGGTTGCAGCACAGTAAGGGAAAATACAGGCAAAGCCTCATGTGCTCCCTAAGTTGAGGAAACAAAGTTAAGGGTCCAGGGAGACTCTAAGCAGCCAGAATTCACAGGACAGAATACCAGAGGGGAGAAATATAACACATAGCAAACTCAAGATTTGCAGAGATGTAGCAAAGTACCGCCCAGCACATACTTAAGATAAAATGACCCAAGGCTGGGGAAAGAGTCAGGCCAAATAATTAGAAGAAACATACTCAAAATTCAAACAGGGCTGGAAAACTTAGTGCCTGGAAGATTTTCATATCTGTATATATTTTTTTATCCTGACTGCAACATGAGGTTTCTGGGTCAGAGACAAACTTAAAATTCATCAGAGGACAACTTGTATCAGCCCTTCAAGCTCCAGTCCCCTAAAAGGCAGTGCACTGAGGACCAAAACCATTTGTGTACCTGGGTTTGTTTATTTTTTGGTTGCTGTGTTTTGGTTCTTTGTTTACAGCAGGGGAGCAATCCTGAAATTATGACTCTCACAGCTTTTATAGGGCAGCTGACACATCTGCCACTCCTCCTTCCAGAGAAAGGGAAAGAGGCTGCTTTTAATATAAACAAAAGTATTTTTGGGGGGAAAAAGGTAAAGGTTCCTAAGCCAATGACCCTTTGGAATATAAGTAAATAGTTCCAGAGGAGTTAACTTTTTTCCAAGATGGAGTCACACCCTGTTGCCCTGCTGGAGTGCAGTGGCACGATTTCAGCTCATAACAACCTCCACCCAGGAGAGTTATTTCTAAACCTCTCCAGAGGTCTTTATCTACAACTCCCAAGCCATTTGCCCTTCAAAAATCCTTAATCCAGGTGTCAGCAACTTTGCTCAGAAACCCCTGATCATGTAGCGTTGTTTCTTGACTCATTCCCACAGCCAAACTGCAAAACATAATTCAGAGGAAATTTGGTAGTCAGAAAACACATACCTCAGCAATGAATTTAGTAATCCCTAGAATAAATGTTATGATCAACCTAAAAATATTAAAAGTAATGCCCCAAGCAATCAAACTATTTTTAACAAGAATATAGAAGTATTCAATGCCTAACAAAGTAAAATTTGCAATGTCTGCCATCCCAATCAAAGCTTATCAGGAAAATGTAATAGCCCTCAACAAGAATAAAAATCAGCAATTGAAATGACTCAGACTGGTACAGATATTTGTTATCAGATAAGCACTTAAAATTATTATAACTATATTCCATATGTCCAAAAAGCTAGAGGAAAGATGAAACATTACAAATATGGAAGACATAAAAATATCCTTATTGAAATTCTAGAGGTGAAATTATAATGCATGAGATAAAAAATGTACTTGTTTTGCAAATATTTTTCCTAGGTTTATGGTTGCTTTGACTTTGTCTCCAGTGTCTTTTGGTACATATATTTTAATTATATTTTAATGTCATATTTATCAATCTTCTAGCATAGTTAGTGCTTTTCATCTTGTGTAACCAATGTGTCCTCACCATTACCAAGGTCATAATTTTTTTTTTTTTTACATTTTCTTCTAAAAGTATGCCTAATATCCTTATAATAATCCCCATTTTCTGCTTAAATTTGCCAGTAATAGTTTAACTGGTACAAAGTTTCTTGTAGGTGAGTGCTGTGATAGCTTGCTTTTGATTTGAAAAGCGGTTCTTCTCTACTAGGGAACATCATTCTCTTTGACCAGGCACAGAATTTCAGGAGTATTCATCAGTATGTGATTGAGGAAGAGGACATCTAGCCAGCCATATTAGTCACATGAACTCTGGCAATCAGTGGGTTGACAGATGCCACAGCTCTATCATTCTCAAGTCCTTGTAATTGCATGAGGTCATCAGCCAAGAAGAAGAGTAGTTTATGCCCAAGAGTTCTGAATTAACGGCAAGGAAAGAAACAACTTCCACTAAGAGTTCTGCTCTCCCAGATCCATAAGACTGTGTTTGAGAAACCATGGCACCAACCATAAAAGATAAGGGCTTGGTGTTTTCAACATCTGAGCAACAGCGGCTTAAATTTCCCCAGTCAACATATTTCTGCCACAATTCAAAGTGCTCCCATTTTATTTCCTTACTCATCTTTTGGAGGTCACACTCAGCTTTTAATGTTCAGCTAGCCTCCTGACTCCTCTTTAAATAAATGAATAGATAATTAGAGGAGGGTATAAAATTTTAATTCAGTCTCAATGACAAAATCTGTTTTGACAGAAGCAAAAAACAAGAATAGGTTCTGGAGGCATGACATGTCAGTTTCACTACTCCCTAACACTGAAAATTATAATTCTGCTTTTGAAACATCTTTTGAAAATTTCTTACAGAAAGATGCAACTTCTTAAATTTTTTTCTTGCATAATCATACCACCTTACATTTACAGCATTTTGCATTTATTATTCCAAGTGATTTCAGTGTTTAATATTCTTTTGATTGGATTGTTCTTCGAAAGGGAAATTTTTAAATCCACTATTTCTTCCCTATGTTGCTTAAAAGAATGAGAATGGTATCAGTTACATAGTTCAAAGTACATGTAAGGAAAAAAGGTGACTTTGACCAGAAGAACTTTTCTTTAAATTATCTTCTCCCCTACAAAATTCTGATAAAATTATAACATGTCTTACCTTATTTCTCAGTGTATGGAATAAATTATTTTTTGCCTTGGAGTAGACCATGTACCGGGACAATATTAAATAATCAGTCTGTGGTTTTCCTTTTAGATTTTATTGAAGCATGAACCGTGAGGGGCAATGCAACATTTTTTTTTATTGGCCCTTGTATGAAATTCTAGTGCTGGACTCAAAATTCTCTCCCAGTTATGAATTACTAGTGAGGTTATGTGAGGTTCTCGAAGCCAGAAAATGGTTGGTTATGTCATTCTGTTTGATTACAAACAGCCAGTAAAACCTTGGAAAGGGCTTTGAGCAAAATTAAATCCCATGGGATAGGGGTGTCCCACACCTCAAGTTCTAGGTACATCCCATAGCATCCTGACCTGCAGCACTGAAACTGCAGAGCCAATCAGGACCAGGCCTAGAAGATATTTCTAGAAACTAAGGTGCTTCCCTAGGAAAGAGGTAGTGATTTAGATTGGCGTCCATCTGCAGATGCAGATGTATTGCTAATGCATTCTTGTCTCTCAGAAGATACTAAACCCTCATTCTCTGTTGGCCCTAACAACTTAGATAGCAACATAATCAGAACTCCACAAAAATACCCCGAGGAAGGTCAAGTTTAATGTTTAGGGCTGTTTCATTTGCCTCATGATGTACCCTGCTTCTCCTCCTTATTCTCCTGGCATGCAGAACCTTCAGTACCATTCCCTGATTGCCCAACCATTTATTTCCCTTGGCACTTACACAGGCCTGAGCTCTCTAAGCAGAAAACTCTTCCCACATAAAATTGACTTCCCCTGTTCCCATGATTACAGACTCCCTGACAAGGGCCAAAGATGAGGATGTGGGGCAATGTAAAAATTGTATGTCTTGTAACTCAGAAATCCAGGGTAACCTACTCAGGCTGCAACCTAGTATTATGAGGGGCTGGAGGGGAACAAACCAAAAACTAAAATTATAGGTCATCCCTGAATACAGGGTAGAGAAAATTACCCCAAACAAGAAGTCACTGCTTTCTAAGTAGGGAGATTTCATATTTTTAATTGTACTGTAAAAAACAGGGATTTCTGTTCCTTATGTGAAAGTTCAGAGTCCCTAATGCTTAGAGAAAGCAGGGGTAAAGTACTGCCTACAGTGACAAAATCAGCAAACACTGAGGGCTGAAGGAAGCACAGGTCTCCCCCTACCCGACCTGTCTTCATTTGTCGGGTTTCTACCCATTGTTCCAACAGTCAGCTTAGTGTGATTGTCTTCCAAACACCCCTCCGTGTTCTATCCCTACTCCACCCTCCCAGTGGCATTTGATGCTTTCCTTAGCCATGCCTGTGTCATAGTCTTACTAGGTTGGTACAAAAGTAGTCATCGTTTTTGCCATCGAAAGTAACAGTAAAAACCGTGATTGCTTTTGTACCAACCTCATACTATGCAGTCCTGTCATCACTGATGTAGTTCTCTCTCTTCATAATGTGTCATGCAAATACGTTGTGTCATATTTGACCTGTTATGGGGCTTGGCACAGGCATGGCATATCATAGGTGTTCAAACCGTGAGGTTAGGAATGCATAACCTCATATTCACAAAGCAGCCACATTGTTCATTCAGCTTTATGCTTATATCAAATATCAGATAACCAGAAGTATGAACAGTTAAAGGTAACAAATGATACCACCTGTACATTATCTACTCTATTAAATATTCAAGAATGTAGCTTAGAACGATTGTCTAGAATGTATTATCAATCTGGCATTCTGATAAAAATGGAAGGTAGTGAAAAGAATGAGTATGTATGTCAGGTAAAGATACTTTGCTGTTGGCCTTTCCCATGCAGTGGCTGGCATGGGGCTCGCTCTTCTTCAGGGTTGCCCATGGATAACATTGGCCTTTCCTTGCAGCCATGAACTTTGCTTTTGAGTCAGGAAGAATCTAATGATTTGCCCACTCAGGGATTGAGATATCGAGACCAAAGGCTAGTTGCTTCCAAAAAATTCTGGCAAGAAGAGCAAATAGAGAATGTAATGCTATGTAGAAGCATGCCCTGTGGGGGAGAGAGGTAGGCAAGACTATAGAAAGGCCTTCACAAGCCAGAGAAGGTATCGGATGGAAAAGGGTAGTGCATGCTATCCAAGCAAGGGATAGAAGGGACAAAAGACATAATACAAATCTTTTGGGACTAGGCAAGCAGTGATAAGCAGCATCTGGAGAAAGAATTCCATGACCTGTTGGCTTTTCTGCAGATACTGCATGGTTCTGAGCTGGCTCCAGACAGGCAAAAGCCTTCATTTACAGCTGGTAAACAATGTTGTGGTTGTAACCAAATACTCTGGGAGTTGGTAAACAATTTCCATGATTCTCATGAAAATATGCTTTGTCATAAAGTGAGACTGTATCTGCTCAGTAGCAACCAGGTTCATAGAAATTTGTTACAGCATCCCTTGCCATTGAAATATCAAAGAACCTGAATGTCTGTTTTCTTCAAGCATAAGAGTTAATGTCTGCTGCACCTTAACCAAGAACAATGACAGTCCAAGGACCAGTTTCAATAATCACCAGTAGTACTTCATATATAATTATTTGGTGAACATGACTAAATAGCTCTGGCACCAAATCTGTTAACTTACTGTGTATGGGAAAGTATCAATGTGTGTTGAGCAAGCAGGATGCCAGGCATTATGCTGGAAATTATGCTAGTCATCTCATTAATTCTCATAAGTAATCTATGAGATTAAACTTTATAGATGAGGAAATTGAGCCTTCAAGAGGTGAATTAAATTGCCCATGACTGCACAGCTAGGAAGTAATAGAGGTATATTTTGGAGATATGTCTGTTAAACTTTCCATTTGCAACAGTAATAGCAATAATAGTTATGGCAAATATCTATATAGTATTCATTCTGTCCTCAAAGATATGTTAACTTAAATCTAAGACCTCAAACTATGAAACTACTCCAATAAAACACTGGGGGAGATCTCTAGGATATTGATCTAGGCAAAAATATCTTGAGCAATACTCCACAAGCACAGGAAACCAAAGCAAAAGTAGACGAATGAGATGACATCAAGTTAAAAAGCTTCTGCACAACAAAGAATACAATTGACAAAATGAAAAGACAACTTACAGAATGGGAGGAAATATTTACAAACTACCCATCTGACAAGGGATTAATAACCAAAATGCATAAAGAACTGAAATGACTCTATAGGAAAATATAATCCAGTCGAAAGATGGGCAAAAGATTTGAGGAACATTTCTCAAAAGAAGACATAGAAATTGCAAGCAGGCATATGAAAAGGTGCTAAACAGTACTGATCATCAGAGAAATGCAAATGGAACCACAGTGAGACTCCCACTCTGACACCTGATCTTAGCCCAACACCTCCTGCTGGAACTCTGGCAGTTCAGGACAGAAGCCTCAAAGGATCCTGTGGAAGCCTGGCCGCAGTGCTGAGGCAGGATCCACCTCCAACATCATGGCTGCCCCACTTTAGGATTCCCATATCGCCTGCTTGCCAGCTCTAGATCTGGAAGATGGAAAAACATATAAAATCTATAAACACCAAGCATGCACTTCATAGGCAGAAAAAGTTCAGATCTAAATGTTGACAGAGCTCCTTTATTTTCCCTTATTTTCCAGGAACACATTTTCCAGAGACACATTTTGTAATGTGTCTCATGAAGAATTCAGCCACCTCTGAAGGGCGGGTTGCCCTCAGAGTGAGCTGAGACTTCTGGAAGCCATGCAGAGTGAGTGACCAACCGTCTTGTTTCGCCAAGGACTGAGGGGGCTTCCCAGGAAACAGAACTTTCAGTGCCAACAACCAGGACAGTTGGTCACCCTCCACCCCTGTAATGGTCAACAGGAACCCTGGGATTCCTCTGCATTCCAACACATTCCATTCATGCCATGCTATACCATTCACAGCTGCAGAGCCGCCCAGTCATGCACACGTGTTCTGACTGTGAGCATTTAGACACCCACTTCAGTGCTTACTGCTATAACCCCAGCACCCACTTCCTTAGAACAGCTGCTTTATTTGCAGGCCTGGTCTGCTTAAAATCACATGAAATTATTTTCACAAGTTGCTGTCTGATAGCCAGAGAAGAGGTAGTTTGATGGCTTGTTTAGAATTTAAATCTATCACCTTGAGTTGCTGAACCTCTGAATTGGTCACAGAATAAACGATCCATCTGGGATAGAGCAGTCAGGTATGAATGATGATGTGTTTCACCATATTTTTTCTTTTTTCTTTTCTTTTTTTTTTTTTTTTTTTTTTTTAAGATGGTGTCTCACTCTGTTGCCCAGGCTGGGGTGCAGTGGCGTGGTCTCAGCTCATTGAAACCTCCACCTCCCTGATTCAAGCAATTCTCCTGCCTCGGCCTCTCAAGTATCTGGGATTACAGGTGCCTGCCACCACGCCTGAATAATTTTTTATATTTTTAGCAGAGACAGGGTTTGACCATGTTAGCCAGGCTGGTCTTGAACTCCTGACCTTGTGATCTGCCCACCTTGGCCTCCCAAAGCACTAGGATTACAGGTGTGAGCCACTGCACCCAGCCACATTTCACCATTTGAAAATTTCGCAGTTACAAAGCAGTATCTGGAACTGGTTCCAAAGAATAGTTTTGACTAATTGTTTCACATTTTTTTTCAACCCCTGTATATAATTACCTTCTTGAAAGTATGTGTCTATATGTGAGCAGGGCCACCTGGTGTTCCTTGGGAATCCTGAAGATTAGGCAACTTAGCATCTAAGCATTTAAAGTGCAGTCAGCCCCATTTAAAAATGACCATTTACGCCAAGCTGAGCCCCTGCCTTTAAGAGAGGTCTCAGTCTAGGGTCAAGTGTGGTGGCTCCTGCCTGTATTCCCAGCACTTTGGAAGGCTGAGGCTGGCGGGAAGATTGCTTGAGCTCCTAAGTTCAAGAAAACCCTGAGAAACATGGTGAAATCCTGTCTCTACAAAAAATACAAAAATTAGCCAAGTATGGTGGCATGCATCTGTAGTCCCAGCTACT